ACTGATCATGAATATTCGTATATGATTTACGTATATTTGCACGTATATTTTGTACATAATGTCATAGTCTATAATCTATGAATAATATATGGATATATTCTCCATGTGTTGCGTGTCCCGAAGCCCCGGGTGAGGTAAGACAAATCAGAATCACATTCTTCCAAGGTGGTTTGGTAAATAGTACTATATAGGTATTTTGGTCGTTGGACACGTTCACTTCGGAGAAATTCCTTCGTAAAAATCACATTCCAATCTGATCCCTCTCATGTGTTGTCTTCTAGACCGCTCCTAACATGTGTTCAGGCCCGATGGCTTTCAAGAGGTAAAAAGTGCATTTGAGAAATATGACATAAATTATAAGAAAAGAAAGGAGTACAACTACCTGACTGGTGCCCTATATGTGAGGTATAACACCGGTGGAAAGTGATGTTATAACTAGTTATATAATGTATAATGTTGGACAGTAAGGCATAGATCGGTGCCTCAGGGTTCTGGTTCTTCCCTCACCGCTTGCATCTCGACGATCTCCAACTCTCCGCATCTTTCTCCCTCCAATTCGGTGGTCGTGTGCCATAATGGAGACCTGGCTATAAACCATGTCGGACCTCTCAGGTTCGCGATCCCCGGTCCCTCCCCCTCCTCCCCCTCCGCCACAGAAGTACTCAAATCGTGCCGCCAATGCCCTTGCTAGATTTGCCCAACCTTTCTTCTTGGGCTCAAGGCCACCTAGTCCCCAAAGCAGTCGTGCGGATGGTCCCCGGTCGATCAGATCCAAATCACTGTAAGTGCTGCAGCTTTCTCACACCGCTCTGATACCCCTACTACCCGGCTGTACTCTTGTTTCCATCTTTGTTTTCCACCGCAGTGACCACCCCCACCATTTGGTCGGAGCTAGATCGGGGAATTGCATTTGAGCCAATTGAATCTTCAGATTTCTAATCATAATCCTTTTGTAAAGACCAGGAGAACCGCAGACTGTGACCCACAAAACAGGCATCGCAATCACGGCTTTGGACATTTCGCCAGAGCGGACACATGCGGTTATTGCAGGCAAGGAGATTCTCAAAACCATCCAGGTCTCCCCAGACCGCTCGTCAGAGGAATTCAATATTCGCAATGCAGTCATCAGCTATGCATCTACCCACCACGACGTGGGCGTTTCGATGCCACACAAGGACCAATTGAATGTGAAGGACGTAAAATGGTCACATGGGAACTATGACCGGATAATCGCAACTGCAGTCGCAAATGGTCGGATTGTGGTTTACGACCTCCAGCGGCCCGGTCTCCAATTATGTCGTTTCCATGGTCATAATCGCCAGGTGCACAGGCTTGCCTTCAACCCTCATCTTCCATCTTGGCTCCTGTCTGGCAGTCAAGATGGCACAATTCGGATGTGGGATCTGCGATCCGCCTCTGCAAATCGGGGAACTTCCACGTGCCCTAGCAAACATTCGTATCAGGGCAACAGCGATGCCATCCGAGACGTCCGGTGGTCACCTAATGATGGGGTTATATTTGCGACTGCTTCAGACAGCGGCGCGATCCAGATGTGGGATTATCGAAAGGTCAACGCCCCACTGATGAGGATCGCCGCTCATGATCGCCCGTGCTATGCAGTTGACTGGCATCCCGACGGAAAGCATATTGTTAGTGGTGGCACGGATCGCCAGGTAAAGGTCTGGGACTTTTCTTCATCTGCAGAGCGGCGGCAGAAACCTGCATTCCAGTTCCGGACGCCCCAGGCGGTCACAAATGTTCGATGGAGGCCTCCTTCTTGGGTTGGTCAGTCTCCTGCCTCGGGAGAATGGCAATCGTCTCAAGTTGTCACGTCCTACGACAAAGAAGACCCACGCGTTCACCTTTGGGATCTCCGTCGCCCGCATGTTCCATTCCGCGAGTTCGATCGGTACGATGCACCCGCAACGGATCTGCTCTGGCGCTCCAAGGATCTTTTGTGGACGGTCGGCGAGGCTGGGGCCTTTACGCAGACTGATGTTCGGTATGCACCAACTGTGGTCAATCGCCGACCGATGTGCTCTGTGGCCTGGAGTCCCAATGGCGAGTTTGTTGCGTTTAGTCAACAACGGCCCAGGCGGCGTCCTCTAGGAGTCAATGCCGCAGAATTTCTACGGGCTGAAGAAGACGACTACAGCACTGGCGAGAGATCACTAAGCCAGAGCCCCGCAGATGACATCTTTGACGAAGCCATTTTGGCCACTTCGCTTCGGAATCGGCATACCAAATCGACCGCGATTCGAACATCCAAGTCTTTGGGCAGTACTCCACCCGGAGCAGTGGATTTCATACCCGTGCTTCCTCTGGAACAGGCATTGGCCAAACTCGCAACCCCAATGCCTAGTCAGGCGGGGATCATCACAAGCATTCCTGGTGCTACAAATGACCCAGCAGTCTTTCGGTATTTGGCAAGCCACTATACACCGTTGATGGATGAACATAGTGAACATAGAACGCAGACAGACGTCCTCAACACTATGATTGAATCACTGGACCACAACGCTGAATGTGCAGATGAGGTATCCCTGGCCAGATTGGCTCAGACTTGGAGAATTGTCAAATTCGCTATTCTCGAAGAACTCAAACGTAGAGCTAGAGATCATCCAGCAAAAGGTGGTCTGAAAGACAGGTCATCCAAGGATGGAGGGTTGATAGACAGGCCACGACCCGATGATGGTCGACAGGACAGGGTGAAGAGTCGGTTGTTCAAAGGGGTCATGGATGCGGTCCCTGAGGCAGAGAGCTCGTCGAATATGACCACCCCTCTCGCGCGGCCATTGCCCGATTCCCCGAAAGACTCCTGGTCAAGCACTGATTCCCAAATCCCCTCGTTGAGCGATGGCGCAATCGACCTTGACCCTCTCCCGCCATCAGTCTTGAGTGACCATAACGGTTGGAGGATGTCGGGTCGTATACCCTTGCCGGGTGGACCACTATCATCCACCGATGATACTCCTTCATCGAAATATCTCTGGGATCCCACACAAGAAGACTTGGACATGGAGCAACGGTCTGCGCCTCGGGCAATTGCCGGCAAAGCAGATTGGCGCCGTCGCGGTCACTCAGACTTCCCTCAGGAAAATTCGGAGGATGACTATGACCAAAAGCTGGAGGATAAACGTGCAGCGATACGTGACTACAAGCAATTTCCCAAGAAACCCTTGACTCTTGAATCGCCAATGGAGTCTAATCGACCCCCCCGTACCGACCGTTATAGTCGGCATGATTCTTCGGAGAGTTTTCCCATGTTCTCTACATCTACCGACAGTTCGCACCCCTCCAAGTCTATCGGTGCGTCTTACTCGTCTACTGGACAACTTGACGCATCTAAATCCCTGGATGCTGGACAGTCTGCCTCAGCACTGAGAAGAGGATCGATTCTAGCCTCTACACGCGAGGAATCTGAGGATGAGATCTTTGACCATGTCGTTTCGGAGACTGATCGACTTCATCTGGAGCGCCCGTCAAGCCCTCCCCCTTTGATCACAGAATCAACCCCCCTTAAAAGTCATCTGCAAACTTTCCCACCAGATGATGCAAGCTACCCCGGCACCATGTCTTACTCAACAATGGATGGTATCTCGCGAGTGCAGATCCCACTCACGCCAGACGGAACAGACTTGAAACCGTGGGGCATTGAAACGATTTTGAAAGAATCAATCCGATATTACCACAGTAGTAGCAGCTTAGTCGATATTCAGGCTGCCGCCCATCTTCTCCAGAAGCTGCACGTTCTTTTCCGGGACTGCGAACAAATTCTCCCGTACAAGGAATGCGAAACGGTCTTCAAAACTTACAATGAGCACCTGATTCGGCACTCGATGGACCTCGAGGCAGCAGAGCTCCGCCTATTTTGTGTATCAACATATCCTGCCGTCTACGAGTACGCCCAGACAGATTCATTCATCAACGTCTACTGCTACACGTGTCAACGACCCTTTGAAAATCCCACCCAAGATAACAGCCGCTGTTATCGCTGCAACACACCTCAAGCACCATGCTCTATTTGCGTGAGCCTTGATCCACCCCCAGAATGGGTTTTAGAGCAGCAAAATCCATCCATCACTTCATCGAGCCTCACGAGTCCCGATTCAGACTCCGAGACCACTTCAAACCATTCCTCACAGTTCTCAGTTCCCACTGAACCCCTCCCGGAGGCGGAGACCGAGATGCTCAAGCCCTTCACTGTACCTCAGCTCAAAGGCTCCGCCCTCTGGACCTGGTGCCAAGGCTGCGGCCACGGTGGCCATCTAGCCTGCATCACAACCTGGCTCGGCGACATCTCAACCAGCGAAGGCGGCTGTGCCACCGCCGGCTGCTCGCATGACTGCGGGCCTGGCCCACGTCGTGAATTAAACCGCCAAGCCCTGCAGGCGGAGTCCAAGCGTCGCGATTCTGCTAGTCGCTCCGCCGGTGTCGGGCTCGTCAAGCGTGATCCCTGGACTAAGGGTGAAAGCAAGGCCGTTGAGAAAGTCCGCGGCATGCTGGGTGTCGCTGGCGTCGCCGCTGCCACTGGTGGCAGTGGTGCTGGCCCGATCACTTCGACAAGCAATACATCCTCTCCGGCGCCGGTCTCACCCGGCGCCATGTCGCCTAAGAGGGTGCGGCTTGTTACCCCGAATGAGCAAGAGAAGGAAAGTGTTGCCTTGCGCACGGGTCCTCCTTTGAGGGACTGAGCGTGGGTCTTGCGTAACGCTCAATGTGTACTACTATTAGCACGTGTTTTTACTTTTACGTCTTCACTTCACTTTCTTGTCTTTTTTTTATTTGATTCCCCAATCGCGATACTTCCAATGAATCAATCCATGCATAACACGTATTCAAGCACATGTCTACGGTGTACAGCCCTGAAGCGGATTTCTCCCTATGAAGCCATCGCATACTGGATAGAATATATCGTACGCACATAGAAATTCCCACCGGATCACTTGGAAAACAACTTAGACACATTCTTAAAACATAAAATTCCCTTTCACCTTCATCTAGAACCTCCGCTTCTTCTTTGCAGGAGCTTTGCCCTTAGCCTCGAGCGACCTCTTCAGTTCCTCGCGCTTCCGGTCAGCCCGCTGGTCTTCGGTCTCTGGCTCTTCAGGTGGAGCGGAAGAAACCTTCTCCGTTGCTGGTGTGGGCAATGGAGATTCCTCTTTTTTAGGAGCTTGTCTGTCAGCCTTCGGTTTAGCAATTGTAGTTTTCTCGAATGACCTGACCACCGTGTCAGATGTAGGCAGCGGAGACTTGTCTCGAGCTGGTTCGGAGACTTTGGCTTTGGCTTTGCCGCCTATCGTGCCAAGTTTCCCGGTACGTTTAGCCTTAGCTGCTGGTTGCTGTGTCGATGATGTGGGATGATGATGATCTTTGTCAATCCTTTCTTTCTCTTCTAGTGACTTTGAAGGTTCTTGAGGTTCTGGAGACTCGTGGGTTTTTTCTGGAGGGGAAGGGGCTTGCGAAGGCGAGGGTTCTTTTGCTTGCTTTTTCTTGCCGCCTATCATGCCCAATCCGCCCTTTAGCCTTTTCGGTGCCTCTCGAACTAGCGCCGGAGAAGGGGCTGGAGAGGGAGATGGCGAGGGCCGGCGCTCTGCTTCTTTCTTATTCTTGCCGCCAATTTTACCCAATCCACCCTTTGGTACTTGCGCCTCTGGAGCTTTCGGCTGCGGTGCGGCCTCTGGTGACCTTAAGACGCTGGGAATGCGTTTTTGATGCGGTGCTGGTTCAGGCTCGGAGTCGGAGCCTGATGCTGTGGCTTCGTCTTCCTCTGAAGGCAATACTGGTGGAATAGGACTTTCCTTTCTGGGCTTTTGCTTGGGTGGTGATGTTTTGCCTTTCTCGTGTTGAGATTTTAATCTGGGAGGGGTTTCTTGTCGCTAGATGAACAGGGTTAAGCTATACTTGGTATCTATGATTAGGAATAAGTCGTAGCATACCTGAAACTCATCGACATCACTGCTTGCCGTTGAGTCCCCTCCTTTGTCGATGTGCTTGGTTTCAACTGGCTCTTCTCTATCTTTGTCCTTGGGAATTTCCTCCTCAATGGGAGGGGATTCTCTGGGGCTAGTTTCAGAGCGCCCCTCAAGTTGATGCCACCATTCAGCTTGTGACAGGGTGAAGGTATCCAAATTATGAGAAAGGCCGGATTCCGATATTTCCTGCAGTAAATTGGTGGCTAATCCCGCCCCATGTGAAACTCCTGTCTCAACAAGCCAGGTCTGTTCCTCAAACGGCGCAATACCCTTAACAAATTTAGCAGCCTCGGACCGCGTAATAGCCTTGCGAGACGCGCGCGATCCTGCGGCACTAGGAAACACAGACCCTAGGTCAACGCCAAGTGTTTCCATTTTGTCAAACAACTTGCTAAGTACGTAGTCCTTCTGCTTGATTTGATTCAAGAGCAAATGTTGGCGGGACTCCCACTCCGCTTCCTCTCTCAGAAGCGGAAGTAATAGATTAGTGGTCAAGGACGACAGGGGCTCCTTTGATAACCTCAAAGACCACTTAAGAGGCTTCAACGGGGAGGGAAGCTTGGTTGTTGTCGTGATTTCAAGCGAGTCGGTTTGTGTTCCACTGCTTAGGATTGCGCTTTCATTGCCCTTTCGTAAACCTTCTCCAATTTTCTCCAGGAGCACATTGAGCTGTTCTATGTTTTCTCCAGGATCGATCGTTGTAGCATCTTCCTCTGCTCTCTTGGTGATAGCTTTATGGGGCAGCCGCTCTGACCAGATATAGGTGAGGTCTGTTATGTGGATCTCATAGCCTTGTCGGGTCCAGGTATATTGGAAGAGCAAAGGAGGCAACCCCCGTTGAGACAAGTGAAGGCGCTGCCATCTTGAAGGCATGGTTTGAGCGACTTGTTGATTTACAATGCAGAGTTGTGAAGTTCCAAAGTTGTCTCATATAGCTGCCTGGGCGATAAGGGAAGGTTTGCCGCCCGCTTGACTTTCCCGCTGATCTCCCGAACTTCTAAACTTCGCTTTCGACATCCAAATTACGTACGTTCGGATCGCATACGTTTTTATTCTTACTCCTCGTTATATCCTTACGGTTCCAACCATGTCTGCGCGATTCCCAGACCGATCAGACTCAAAGCGCAGCAGGTCCCGATCGCCGTCCTCGTGGCGTCAGCCCCAGAAATACCCTCGACGGGACGACGGAGAATGGCGCGACCGACAAGACTCGGATCGCAGATGGAACAATGAGAGATCGGGCCCTGCGCAGCAGCCTCGCAACATGCGCGATCAAGTCCGGCTCAACTTGATCCAGGAAGACCAGCAAGAGCGCGAGTGGGTCGCGCAGGAGGATCTGTTCGTGTTGAAGCAGGCCAAAAAGAAGGCAGAGATTCGAGTCAAGGAAGGACGCGCAAAGCCTATCGACTGGCTGACGGTTACTCTCCGCATCATCGACCCTACGCGGGATCCCTTGGATGACGAAATAGCAGACTCCGATCTGGATGTCGTGGACCCAGATGGTGTTTTTGAGGGACTATCGCAGACCCAACTACAAGACTTGGAGAAGGATATTGATACATTTGTTAACCTTGAGACGAACGTGAAGAACCGTGAATTCTGGCAGGTAATGTTCTCTCACTCTGCTATCTACTAGACACCCCTGTTGACCACCGTCCACCCTACAGACTATGAAAGTCATCTGCCGAGATCGTCAAAAGACCGTTACACCCGAGGGTCGCGTACTGAATTCTGTGGCTGCCGACATCAACAAACTACTAAGCCCAAAATCCTACGAGCAGCTTCAAAATCTCGAAGTACAAGTGAAACGGAAGTTGAACTCGAACGAGCCGATCGATACAGATTACTGGGAGGAGCTGCTGCGCAGTCTGACTGTGTGGAAGGCCAGGGCGAGTCTGAAAAATGTTTATCAAGCTATTATTGATGAGCGTGTTCGCGACCTGAGGAGACAGCAAAGACAGGAAGCCGAATCAATTCGGGAAAAACTAGCTCCTCTTGCTCCAGTTGTTTCTGCGGATGATGTAACAAGTCATGTCGAGTTTGAAGGCCTAGATCCAGATCCATTGCTCCAGGTTCGCCCGGAGGACAAAGGCTTGGAAATCATGGACGAGTCCGCATTCCTTAACCAAGTGGTAGGTTTTCGAGCTTCCTCTCATTTATTCCAATCCACATGCTGATCAACCGCACAGGCCCGCGAACGCCAGAAAATTATCCGCATGGGTTTTGTCCCACTACGGCACCGAGCTGTGGAGAGGTCATCCACGGTAGTATCGAATCCGACATCTACCCACACCCCCGCTGCCTCTGTATCCACACGGTTCTCGTCTATTCCGAATGAAGACTTCTCCCAGGCGACCAAAGCGCTATATGAAAGGGAGCTCGCCAAGGGTGTCAGTGAGAACGAGGAAATATTTACGGGCGAAGAGGCCGTGAGCACGAGCTCGCAACCTCAATGGGCCGGTAAACATCGGCCTCGAAAGCCACGGTACTTCAACCGAGTCCAAATGGGCTACGAATGGAATAAATACAATCAAACCCATTACGACCATGACAACCCGCCACCCAAGGTTGTACAAGGTTACAAATTCAACATCTTCTACCCCGACTTGATTGACAAGACCAAAGCCCCGACTTACCGGATTGAGCGTGAGAACGGTCGCAAGCGTGGTGAGTCCTCGGCCGAAGCGGGCGAGGAAGACACCTGTCTCATTCGGTTTATGGCTGGGCCTCCGTACGAAGACCTTGCCTTTCGCATTGTCGACAAAGAATGGGATTATAGTGCCAAGCGCGAGAGGGGTTTCAAGAGTACATTTGACAAGGTACGTCGTGCTCCTAAATGACCCCCTTGTTTCTCAACTGACGTAATCATTTCTTTTTAAGGGAATCCTTCAACTTCATTTCCAGTTCAAAAGGGTAAGATGCTTTCTTTTGGGGTTTTACGAAGACGATACTAACAGGTTGTCTTAGATCTATTACCGGAAGTAACACATGCGCAACCAACGATTTCCACATGGGCGTCATGTCGGGATGGAGAGAGTGGATTACGATAGTGTATACAGGGAGATGTTCTGTGGGGGCTGTATTTTCCAGTGACTTGATATCCAGTAAATCAGACCAAACCTGGATTGATTGGACTGGAAACATTTCCCCCAAGGTTTTGCAGAATAAGCCGGACTTGATATATGGAGATATCAGATGCTTGATCTAACATCCTCGACCTAAATTTGACGACCTCACCACTTTATTTCTCCATTATGATCGTCCCTTAGGGGGAAGCCAAAAAAAAGCCTCCCCACTTGCCTTGACCACGACTAGCATATCAACACCATATGTCTCTTTTTTCTTCTATTTTTCTACTACTAGGGTACTCGCAACACGGGGAACGTTGGGTATCCTCTTAGGTGACACTATCCCGGCCTGCAGGAGCAGGATGTATGTATTCTGACTTCCGGCTGGTTAGATGCAGGCTATGAAAAAAGAAACAATTGAGCTAGACAAAAACGTAAGAATATGGCACTTGCAGTTAACCCCCAAAAGGGCCGGAATGAAGCCGGTGTAGATGAATGGCGACTTGTGTCCTGCAGGTTCCCATTTGACCATTTGACCATTTGACCATCCCCTTCTGGATCTAGGCGGCCTAGTTCATTCGTTCTAGTCGCATGTCGCATGTAGCATGTAGCACCAGATCCAGCCACTTATGACTTCCCGGTCATTGGTCATTGTCTGTACTATGAATCTCCGTTGCACGACTTAGGCATCTAAGGCGTTTTTCGAAATACGGAGTAGACCTTGTTTCTATAATACAAGAATAAAAATTAATTCCCTTAGGTCCAGACCGTCTTTTGTTTGGATTGCATTTATGAGGTTATTTGCAGAGAGAGAAGAATATGATGTGTTGGCATGGGATCTTTGAAATTATACAGCTCCAACTCGTCGTTGAGCACACACACATCCTTTGAGGCTGCGATCTCGTCTGTTCTTGTCTCCTTCTCCTTCTTATTCTTATTATCTCTCCCTCTCTCCCCCCTTCCTCTTCCTCTTCCTCTTCCTCTTCCAAGAGTTACGTTTGCCTTCTCATATCCTCCTTTCCCACAACTTTTGTGCTTCTCTTCTACTTCCCTTTCTACTCTTTTATCACCCAACCCATCGAGTCAATCCCACGGCCGGACGTTTCCTTGTCCAAACATGGATTTCTCATTCCATTCGCAACATTTCGACAGGGTGCAGATTTCAGGCCCAGGAGATTCGAAACCTGGTCACCTGTCGCAACCAGAAGCACCATCTCAGTTCAGTGTATCTGACTGGGCGAGATGGAGATCCCAGCTAACTCCCATGCCTCCTCGCCAGTATGAAGATTACAGCTTTCCTCGTGTTGCTGATGGTGAGCCATACGGCTTGGGTCCGTTGCCTCAGGAGCTCCTCGGAGGTCCAAACGGATATATTGATCTCTACCGCTCGCATGTCACCCCCACCATGGCTGGCACACCATCAGAGGTATTGGGTCCCCAAGCTGGAGAGGGTCACTCAGATTGGTCACTTTTGCAATCCTCCCCTGCCTTCAAAGACCAGTCATACAACTATCATCAGTTAGAGCCTCTTCTGCCACCTCCAGACTCCCCACCATCGCCACTTTCTGAGGTCTCCTCCTACCACTCTCCGCATTCGCTCGCTGCTTCAAGTCCAGGAATGACGGCTCAGACAGCAGACCGTCTCTCGCCCCGTTCAAGCACTGGTGACAATAACCAGGAGCGTCACAGTCACCCTCCCTATTCAGTTCTCATCTACCAGGCCTTGAAGGAAGCCCCCGGAAACAAGCTTCAACTTCAAAGTATTTACTCCTGGTTCGAAGCGAATACAGACAAGGGAGGGGACCCGAACGCGAAGGGATGGCAAAATAGTATTCGCCATAATCTCTCGATGAACGCGGTAACTCTCACTTCCATATTTCATTCTTTCAGTTCTTTGCAATATGTTTGATGCAACGTCTGCTATCTTTGATATCAATACTAACCTGGAGTCTAGGGATTCGAAGCAGTGAAGGAAGAAGTTGGCCCTGGCAAACGAGCAGTGAACTTCTGGAGGCTGACGCCGGAAGCCATCCGCAGCGGTGGCATTCAATCAACGACCCGCTACCGCAAGCTTCAACACCAAAAGAAAGGAATGAACTCAGGTCATCGCGGGGCCACACGTCAGCAGCTGGAGTTCAAGGGTCTCCACGCCACGAAGGTCATCAAATCACGCAGTGCGAACAGTCCACATGACGAGCGCGCCGAAGCATATCATCAGCGGCAAAAGATAAACACGAACCATAGTCTCGGACATGAACAAAGATACATGGAGCACCCCATAGGCCCTGTTGTCGGGTGCAGCCCGATGATACCAGGCAACAATACGGTCTTCATTGATACCATGGAATCAGGACCAGCATTTGACGTGGGCTATAACCATGATTGGTACAGGGCCCACGACCCACTCGAGGGTCCCGGTCGATCATCAGCATAAGACTTCAAAAAAAAGAAAACTTAGCCACAAAAAAAAGGGAGGGGAGGTGTGGTGGGGACAGAACAAGATTCAGTGATGAACTCGGATAACTGGACATGTTCTATTTCCCGATTTCGTTATTTTTTGCATCCTTTTTTTTCTTGTGAATTTTCAGGCCATTGGTGGAGACCAATGCCGGCCATTGAGCACACTAGAGGCATGGCGTTATTTGAAATGCCCATTTATTTGCTATTTGAATTCAGAATGTATTTGGCGGGCGTTCCACAAAGTGAGCCTCATGGCGAAGGAGATCTGTCTACTTTTTTTTTCCTATCTAATTTGCTTTTTTGCTACTTTTTTTTTTCTGTTTTCCAGTCGTTCTGGCATGAACAACACATATTTTCTTTTCAAGTGTACCATAAGTTAGTAGTGTTTATGAGTATCAATCCGCATCTAATCGAGACCTATCACAAAGACAGGGATGTCAATCATCCTTCTCCGTCATGTTCATCAATGGATCTTCAATGAGGTACTTGGGCGTAGGCATGTCTCTCATGTAGCCTCGCTTCTCTCGAGTCCCACATGCTCTCTAGCTCGGTACAAGGATACATCGATGGTAATTTTGGGCATGAACAATGCCAAGAAATGGAAATATTCACGCCTCTACTACCCCCTGTGTTTCGGTGTCAGATAAGCATAGCCTCCTCCGTATCAATGCATTAGCATTGTTCTTGTCCATAGCATGGACCACATGCTGTGTTGCTGACAATACTTCATATGCTTGTACAGCGGTGTCTCAAGTGACAGGAATAGCCTCCAACCACAGTAGAAGGAAAACTTGCTGAGCGACCATCTGCACGCTTCCACAGATTGAATCTGGGAATATTATAAAGGGCTTTTCTACTAATGGAGTACAATAGAGCGCATTTTGCCTCCTTCTCTTTGCTAGTTTTCTTTAGCCTCTCTTGACACCCAGGTTCTGTCCTTAGCTCACGCTGAGCAACCCCACCAACACCCCGCTATATCGCTCTACCAACTGCCGCAGTAGGCCAGAGTTCTGGGATTACGTGGACATCCTTGGCAGCATCGGCAGCATCGGCAGCTGCATGTTGCCTTTCCCATGATCATCTTTCCTCCCGGTCATTCCCCACTTCCCCTTTTGTCGGTATCCCAGGAGGACGGAATTTGATACCCGCGCTTTGAGCTAACAGATCGTGGGGAGGGCACAGACCTGTATTCTCGAGGAACCCAACTCTGATAAGACTACATACAATATATATGAGTTTAATTATAGATATGCTATGATTAAGGCATGATATACTACCCTGTAGTATCAATTTCCTTCCCTAAGTTATGTAGTCCTATACAGACATTGATCATCGTGTTAATCAGGAAGGTTTATAGTGCGTGATAGGGAGATCGGCAATAACACCAGTGGAATGAGCGATATCAGCAACGTAGCCAATGATGTTTGATGGATTACCACTTTTCTTTTTACAGATTTGCAGATGTTATACCAATGGAGAATACAGATACGTATTTAGAAAGATACCACTAGGGTATAAGCAACTTGTATCCGTGGAGCGTACAGTGCAGTAGCCTTTGTACTGTGAGAAAGGAGATACATTAGACAGTATGTACCTGTACACTGTTATACAGGTGGCAGCTGCAATGCCGTTCACAACGCGGCTGAATATGCCAGTACCTAAAGTTGAGTTTGAAGCTCCCCTACGGGCCGTGTTCAATAGTGATTTGTTTGTATTATTATATGATGGGTAAGATGTTTGTATTCTTCTCAAATTGGAGAATTGAGGAATTAGAGATTAGAGTTAAGAGGTGTACTCTAAAGCGCGATATTACTATCGTTAATCTAACCTTAACTACCTCCAGGGCTAGGGCTGTTATACGGGGTTTCTAATGTCCTCAACACCAATTTTGTTAATGCCCGCTTGGACCCTTCCCTAAACCAAACAGGACATGGGAACCCCTCGTGAGAGTCTGCAGGTCAATTATTGACCTAGACTTTGAGTGGGTGTTCGTTGTTAGTACATATCGAGCCAGTTGGCCGTCCAACCGACGGATATGCGTCCCGCACTATTATTTGTTAATCATATGATGACATCGCTAGCCCCCTTTGTTGAAGGGAGCTGAGCTTTTACGGTGAATCTTACCTAGACTAGCGATGAACCCAACCAGTAATAGGAGCTGCCCTGCCCCAGGATGACGGCAATATCCCTCGGAAGCTGTATCCTCAACTGTACAATGTACTCTGTACTCTGTACCTTTGCCTTCTTTCTCCTTCCTTCCTTTCCTGCTTTAATTTTCTTTTTACTGTATGTACCCATATGTCACGTCTATTCCCGTAATACATGTCGTCGGAAAATCTTCATACTGATCGTTGTGGAGAGGTCTTCCATGCAGGGTAAAGGCAACCAGTATCAACAGTCTCGATTGCAAGACTAAGCACCGCCAGACACAGCCCCACTGTTCAACCCGAATCTGAAAATATCACGTTATAGGTATCTAAATTATCAATCGGGCCTAACCCGGGTTCATCCTTTCGATCTATCAATTATCTCGAAAAGACAAATCGGGAGCAGGGAGAAAGGGGTAAATACTCTGTGGATCTCTTATTTTTTGATCTGCATGACACCAATGTGGGTACAGAAATGTCACTTGATATGTATGTACACAATAGCCGATAGGTTGCCCAGTCTGCTGGAATCCGGGATGTGCAGACGTCTTCCAGTGCACACCGGGGATTTTCTCTTACAATATAGGTTATGTTGAAAGTCTTTGCAAGAGCTTCTGCATTTAATATACAATATAGTACCAATGGCCATATTCCTTTGTATTCTGACTTTCTATTCCTCTAGTAGAAACCGCACGAACCTCACGCTTTGGGCGTTTGTGGGATGGAACGGCCCGGTTCGACAGCTGTCAATTCTACATACGTTCGAGCTTTCTTGGACCAGCGCTAACCCTCGGAGTGGATAGCTTTAGGGACCAATGCGACACAGAACAATCGCCTGACCGCTTCTTGGACCGATCCCATTGTCTGTTGTCATCCGCATCCCCGCGTATCCCCGCGTCCTATCATGGCGGCGGTTAAAATTCCTCACCTCGTTGCTTTTTCACAGCAAAGGAAAATACCAAACATTCGGATCCGAGTCGGTAACTTCTTCTCTTGGCTCCTTCGAGTCACGGGAATTGAGCGAATCGCAGCGGCCACGTACTTTACATATGCGCTATGTATTCAGTAAAACAATGCATGGAAGAAGAGGGATCGATCTTCATTGGTACACCTTTGGAGGCTTTTTTCGCTACGTATTGAGCTAGTGCAGACTGTGTGGTACAGAGATACTAGATCTCCTCTAGGGAGGAGATCTATTGTCTTGTCACATGCTAACTCACATCGTATGTTGACTGATAGCCATTACAGGATAGTCCGAGCATAATGCTAAGTGAAGATCCTTCTTATGTAGTACATGTACTCGGAATGGTGGTCATGACCATAAGTTGGTCACAACTTCAGCGTATCTTCAACCAATCTCATCTGCGGCCTCGAGGAGGTCAAGGCACAAAGAACCTGCAGGACCAAACTCCTGCTTGAAGGAGCATTTCAGGATATCTGCCATAAACAATAATTATGCCACTATACAGTAGCAGAATTCTTTTCCTATTGATCTCTGATGGAGTGCAACAAGAATAATTCTTTTTGATTACAATTCCGGTGCCTCGCATATATATTCGGATCTAGGCAACATATGGCGTGTGGATTAGAGCAGCTTTTTCATAGAAACATTTTTGGGCAATAAAGATTTAAACTAGATGAGAGATTATACAGTGAAAACTCCGAGGGCCTTGCAACAACCGGTGTCATCTAACCCTAGCCCTAATGCATGACTGGTTGGGGTCTCGACCTGTTGAAGAGTCAAACTCCGCGGACAAGAAAGCCTCCCCACAATGACCAGCATAAAATTTAATTGTTGTTTATAGTAGTAGTTAATAGTGAGGAGACTTATGTCCCCCTGTCAGTAATGCTTCGGGGACTACGAGGCGCAGTTGCTTGGCGAAAAAGATACTGCTTTACTGATCATATCTCGACCAAGTCAAAGATACATAAGCGTCAAATTTACAGTTTGTCCAGGTGTACTATAAAGTTTCGTACGACATAAGGAATGTCCTCTACCTACTTGTGTTGACATTGGAAGATAGGTATAATAGAAGTGATGCGTAATTTCTTCTCTTTATGTTGGAGAAAGAGTTGAGATATAGATAGAATTCTACTCGTAGAAAAAGAAGCTCCGCACCACAGCCTTCAGTTTTCTATAGATTAAGTGATTGCGAAAAAGACGGTTGGACTTCTGTTAAATCGGAAGCTATGCTCAATGTAGTCATAAAATGTCGATATCCATATTGATGCAACGAGGGCTTTGGGAAAGCTTGAGCCGCTAGACATCATACAGACCCACAGCTAACTACATGGTGGAAAATATCCACCTAGAGGGGTTATACGGAGTGCTGGGTTGACCTGGCTTAAGCATATTTTCTTCACATCCAGGCCTAGATCAATTGACCAGACCATGTGGGGTACCAATCCCGCGTAGAACGTACATTCAATGAAGGCTACTAGCGCAGCTATAAATGAGATCGACACCTAAATATACTTTAGCCCTGGAGACTAGGCGAATTACGGTGACCAACACAACCCTAGAGAAAGAACGCCTTTGTTTTACCCAGCGACGACTACGTTTGTCTGAGCCTGAGGGCGTCTATACCTGGTGTAGTTCAACAAGAGATGTTGTTGATCTGAAAGATATTGCCTAACCCCCATCATGGACTTACCCGAATGCGTCATCACAGCTAGAGATCGAGTGCCACGATTGCTGACCGGGACAGACACGATATGTACGAGGCTTCCATCCGGGAAGCAGATTCAAGACACCACGGAGATAATTTCAGACAACTTGATTCGACATGTCAGGGAATCTCTCATGAAGATAAATGAAATTGATTCA